GACTTAAGAAAAAGTAATAATCTAAAACACCAAGTCACTGCATATTTTTTAAAGCTGCAAGGCTATTCAGTCTTGTTTAAGTTAGCTGTAAAAAATAATTACTACTGTGAAACAATCCCAGCAAAAAACGTATAAATAGTGACTTTATGCTATATTAAAAGTATATGAGCATAGTTTCCGTTTGTTTAAATGGCCAAGAAAAGGAATATCATATTATTTAAAATCAGTTTTAACGAATAGTCAGAGTATTATGAAAAACATTCATGTTTTATTTCATTGTCTGAAAAAACCACCACACATTCTCATGCCTTTTGTTAAACATTTTGAACTGACATTGTTCCTATGCATTAGTAACATATCGTTTAATAAAGACAAGACAGGCTGTATGTTAAGAGTCACAGTTTGCCAAAATGTCATCTTACAAAGTTTAAATATATTGGTCACACTGTTCTGTAATTATTAACACTTTATCACAAAATACACAACAAAGGCACTTTATCCATTTGGTTAAGATACTGCATACTAAGCACACTTTGTAATTTTAAATGAAATCACCAAAACAATATTATGGCACGAACAACACTACAGTTTTTAAAATTTGTGCTTATTATGTTTCTACTTTTAATACATGGAAGGAACATGTTTCATGTAAAATGGAATATTTTTTAACACGTAAACTTTTCCTAGATTAAATATATACTAAAGCAGCATTTTCTGATGTGCATACATGTAAAAAAATAGACAAAACGTTCAGCTTCTAATCCTACACTGCAGTAAACTCAAATTTCTTACATCTATAAAACAACTGCACAAATTAATGAAATCATCCAAAGCATATTGCATTATTTTTGCACTTGCTTTGAAACTGTGTTTATTAAGTTAATCTATATCAAAAGTATTGAAAACTTTAAAATAAACGTGACCATATACTTATCAGTCAATCGCTTTACTGAAAATATTTTCAGGTTTATGCAAATTTTATTTGTTCACAAGAATGTCAGACTATACTTATGAAAAACTAAGTTGTACATTCTAATTATACATACAGGACACTTCATACGCAGAATCACACCTGCTAATAAACATTCACACTGTTTAAAACTGCATTATTCCAATGCTTAATGATATAGAATCATACTTGTAGGGGCTATGGTAAATGTCACAGACACAAATGTATGCAAACATGTTAGTCACTGAAAG